TATTTTAGAAAAAATCTCTAATTAACTCTTTGTTTTGTTAAATTTCACGTGGACGAAGTCGCGGATACAGGTAGTAAATAATAAAAGAACAGACATACAGATTATACTTTCGCATTTATAATATTAGTTTTTTTTCGGACTACTCTAATGCTGTTGGCCGTAGCTGGCCTTTACAGCTTTACCGGAGGTTAGGGGGCGAGTGCAAATGGCACTCCAAACCCGCGGAAGGATTTATGGAGCGGCTGAAGGCCAACTCCTGCCTGACGGATACGACTTTAGTCTGAGGGCACCACTACGGGTTCGAACCTCGGCTCAGGCCGTCGTAATTTCGATCCCCGTTTGAATTGGACGGGGGATCGATCGGAGGGGTATAATATTAGTATGGAGAAACGAATTGTTAGTAAAATAAACTAGTGCTAGCAATGTACCATGTCAGACTGACTCCCACAACCTTTTCCTTCTGGCAACCATCGAGATAAATTCTTGGTGAAATTATCACGATGAGCTAACTGACCTGACCTCATCTTAACATCCTTCACTGGTGCCCCGCCAGTGTAACCCGTGAGCGCAGGCGAGTGAACCACACCATCATCATCCATAAAAAATTAAAATAGATACTGCATTTTGCTAAGCAGAAGAGAAATCCCACTACACATCCTACATGCCCTCTCATGCATAAACGAAATATCTCCTTTTGAAAGTTTACACTCTTTCCTGAGGAGATAAAAACCATCGCTCCTAAGAATTTTCTTTCTACTTCAATTCTTGTCTCTGACGAGTCTAGACTCGTCAGATAGCGAACTCTGAAAAAGGGCGAGCACAACAGATCTACACAGGTCGCAGTGTTACAGGTCTTGCACCTGACAATAGCCCATACTCCAATATTTTTTTTAAAATATACTAGTATGAACACGGCATTATATGTTGCATATATGTATAACCTCTCGCTGGAGTACAGGCTTGTTTAAAATAGGCCCGTGGTTACCGGGCCGTGAAAGTACGCCTCGACGCTCCCGCCTTTCATCCCAGACTGGTTACGACCCCATTCACTACAGCGAAATGGGGTTTTTCGTATATCACCGAATTATTATTGTTAGGAGCTCATTATTACATTGATTAATTATACAAATAGAATAGGTAAGGAATACAAATTAATTAAAATCTTTTCTATAAATATCATAATAGGTTTTGTTGTATTTCCATATCTCTTTTCTGTATAATTCTTGTGTATTAATTCTATTAGTGCAATAAAGAGTTTATAAATAAAATAGCTTTTGCCCGCGGCTTCGCTCGCGTTAATTTCGGAGTGGAATTTATCAAACTCCTTTCTTAGGGGATGCCTACGTCATAGTAGCTTTATGCATGCAAAATCTCAGCCCGATCAGTTTAAAATTGACAAAGTTTCATACAAACTTTCATCCCCTATTTTATCCCCTTGGGGGTAGAATTAATCAAAATCCTCTCTTACCGGATGCCTACGTCATAACATCTACCTGCATGCCAAATTTCAGGCCGATCCGTCCAGTGGTTTGAGCTGTGCGTTGATAGATCACTATGTCAGTCACCTATAAGTTACGAGTATATCGTTATAGTCGTAACTTATAGGTGACTTATGACGATATATATATATAGATATAAATAAATAAATAGGTACTAGACAACAATAACACAAACTCCGCTTAGCTTGGGACTAGATAGTACATTTTTTCGGACTACTCTAATGCTGTTGGCCGCCGTTGGCCTTTATACCTTCACCATATGATAGGTGACGAGTGCAGAGGGCGCTCCAAATCCAGTGGATTTACGGAACAGCTATTTCACGGTACTAGTTGATATTTTTTTTTTATAACACAGGGGACAAACGAGCATGCGCTTCACCTGGTGGTAAGTGATTACCGCCACCCATGAGGAACTTTTAAAAAGGAATAAGCTCTTTTCTTGAAGGTTTCAATATCGTATCGGTTCGGAAATACCATTGCTGGAACGTGATTCCACAATGTAGTTGTGCGTGGCAAAAAATTTCTAGAAAACCGCACTGTGGAGGACCGCCATTCATCCAGATGATCAATAGTATATTAGCTTCTGGCGGGTGGTACGGTGGTAAAACTCAGCAGCTGGTATTAATCCGAACAATTCCTCAGAACACTCCCCGTGATATATGCGGTAGAAAATGCACGGAAATGCAATATCTCGCCGCAAAGCCAATGGGTCGAGTCGAGTGGATTTGATAAGACAGTAACTGCAGTCTAATTAAAGAGTTAAAACGGAAACTAGCATTAACTATAATGATTTATAATGTAAATAATTAAGTAAATAAGTCGTATTCAATTGACCATAACCATTGAATCTACCTTGAAATCTTTTTAATTGAAAACTTAAGAAATTACATTGTACCAACTAATTGCTAATCCGAGTCGAATTTATATTGTTACAAATTAATTTAGAAGCAAATTAATAAGTGTTTTGATTGAGCGGTTGACCTTGTACATAATTAGGACAAAAAGTTGTCGATTCAGACTTAGATTATTTGTTTTTTTTTTTAATGAATCTGTAATATTGTAAACATGTACAAGTTAATTTGAATAGAATAAGAGATGAGTTTCTTATCAGTTCTTCTCATCTCGAAATCATTCCGAACTGACAGTAGATTTGACATATCATAAGAATCTAAGCCAGGGCGAGTAGCTAGTCATTACATAGTATAAAACAAAGTCGCTGTCGCTGTCTGTCCGTCCTTATGTATGCTTAAATCTTTAAAACTAAGTAACGGATTTTGAAGCCGTTTTTTTAATAGATAGTGATACTAGAGGAGAGTTTATATATATATATATATATATATATATATATCTAGCTTCTCGCCCCGGCTTCGCATGTGTGTACACACACATGTATTATATATATAAACCATCCTCTTGAATCACTCTATCTATTAAACAAACAGCTTCAAAATCCGTTGTGTAATTTTAAACATTTAAGCATACATAGGGACGGACAGACAGCGACCGCGACTGTGTTTTATACTATATAATGATATATGTACACTGTATAGCCGTGCGAAGCCAGGGCAAATAGCTAGTAATTTAATAATGTGTTCTCGTAGATCTTATAAATAGCACTCATGCATTTTATATCCACAAATAGAATAGAACATAGTGGTGAATCATCTTATATCCACAAATAGAATACAATATACTGGTTTTTTAACCAGTATATTGTATTCTATTTGTGCAAGAATAAAGAAAAGATCATGTCAAAGCGACCTACTTGCTTGGCGGACGGCAAGCGAGTAGTACGTCGGAAGCCCCCCTCCCCCACGCTAACCCTTCACCGCCCCGCATCTCCCGCCTTGGACCGGAAACAGCTGAGCGCTGGAATGACAGCCGGCCTAGTTTTAAGTCTGCTATAACTTGAAACTACCCACCCACTTGTTTGATAGTTAATTGTTAGGGAAATAGGTAATATGAGGTATCGACGATACAACGACCTCGGTGGTTACCACCGAGGTCGAGGTTTAGCACATTGATTTATTCTTGTGGTAGCGGGTTCAATTCGTAGGATGGTACAGACATTCATGAGTATGATACCCCTCCGATCGATCCCCCGTCCAATTCAAACGGGGATCGAAATTACGACGGCCTGAGCCGAGGTTCGAACCCCTAGTGGTGCCCTCAGACTAAAGTCGTATCCGTCAGGCAGGAGTTGGCCTTCAGCCGCTCCATAAGTCCTTCCTTGGTTTGGAGTGCCATCTGCACTCGCCCCCTAATGTCCGGTGAAGCTGTAAAGGCCAGCTGCGGCCAACAGCATTAGACTATTCCGAAAAAAAAATTAGTATGATTATCTGTATTGGTCTGAGTAGTTTTTATATATATTATGTATTTAAAAAAAATGACTTAAGACTAGATGGCGCTGTTTGTATTATTGTTATTATTATACTATAACATGCAATGGCCTACTAGTACTACTCTGAATTACACTCAAAAGGTCGTGAGTTCAAACCTGTTCGACAAAAAAAACTTTGTTGTTGCGGACCACGAGTCGGCATCGAAAACATGTAAATAAATTTGTATTTTACTTCTAGTAATGAGTCTGCGTTCCGAATGATTGGTAGAATAAAAAAATGTGACTATTCAAATGTGCTTATAATAAGTTTATTTGAAAGAAGAATTCTTTTTAAATATAAATTCACATAATGGGAAATCTGTTTGAAAAGGTATCTCAATACGAAATAAATTCTATTAATAGACAAGAGACAGACTAACCAAGTCTATAACCTGATATAGATACAAAATAATCAACCCAAACCGTTTCAAATGAATTCAATATAACGTACTGTGAAGCTCCTCGCAAAGGTCTCTCTAAACCTACAGGATCATTCATTTAAACATCAAATACGTGTATAATTATCGAACATTCATCAGGTAGGAGTCGACACTTGAATGAAGTTGCTCCCCCGTCTCCTCATATTGTTCAATGGGTTCACTTTGATGTTCACTTGTTTGGCGACAGCCGCTTTTATTCCCATCTCTGAGCGACGTTTCCTGTCGTTTGGGTTAAGATAATGTTGCATATTCATTGTACGGTTCGTTGAATGAGCCTTATGTGTATGTTGTAAAACAATGGGATTCGAGGTTAACACCACTTGTAGTATAGAAATAGAAATAGAAATAATCTATATTCAAATAAACTCAGTGCAAGCACTTTTGAATAGTCATATTTTTATGACTCTACCATTCTACCATTTTCTTCAGGTTTCTACAGATTCTACCACTCCGGAATGCAGATTCATCACGCTCATTCATCAGTTTAAAGTTTGCGAATAACGTTTAAGATGTTCCATCACAATATCATAGTCTATTATCACATTTGAGAGATGGTTTTAAGTCGAGTTCTTCTGCGTTAGTATAATCATCTATTCCATTAGTTACCTTATCAGATAATAGCCTGGAAAGAAAAAGGAACTTTCCACTCAATTTTACTTATCTAAAGTTTCCTTGTTGCAGACCTCCAGTTTCCCATCGACGTATCCGGAGTACAGAACGATCATCCATTCCTGGATGCAGATTCTTTACAGTCTCTATTCAGGAGACTCACAGCGCTGAACCGCTGCGCGAACATGAAGCTGGAGCATCATCATCATCAGAAAAGATCGGTGAGTCTACATTTGGATACACTAATTGAAAGTGACATAAGGCGAGCCTGTTGCTGTCTCGGATTAGTTTGGTTTGTGATCAGAGTTTCCATTGTATAGATATTCGATTCAAAACCTAATAAAGATAGGTGACACTGCATGTTGTCAACTCACCCGGCCGGCCAGCGGTGGTTCTGGGCCAGACGGATAAGGTCTGCCTCGGTGCCACTGTTAGGTAAATTGTAACATCTCGACTGGAGGCTCCTCTGGAGTTGTACAAAATTGGAAATTAAAGAAATATAACAATATTTAAGTAAATTATAAAAAAGCAAGGAACGAATATGTCTGTGGAAAATTGTATTTAATTTAAAAAAATATATATATAATTTATATTAAACTAAAAGATAAGAGAAGACCTAAATATTGACGGCCATAGTGGTCTAGTGGTTTACGACACAGCCTTATTTCCGAAGGTCACGGATTCGATTCCTCGCACGGTGCAAACTTTTGTGTATTCATGAATATGATTGTTTGTATCAACCTGGGTGTTTCTATGTATCTTATGAATGTATTTACAAATATGTATCTATGTATTTATATCAATTATCTACTACCTACAATACAAGCTCTGCTTAGCTTGGGACTAGATTGCGCTGTGTCAATTGTCCTCTGATATTATTATTATTGTTTTTTACATAACAATATTACTTTTTTAATTTGGACAATGGAATGCACGTGTGGGCTGAAGGTTTATGCTGGGGTGCAAGTGGAGGATGATGAAATGAGCATGAACTCAGATCTGTTAGCGCATCTTGGCAAATAGCAATTTACCACGACGGCCTCCAGGAGGAACCGCGTGGATGTCAACCTGACATGGTACATTGCCAGAACATCTTAAGTACACAATACATATTTTGTTGCAAATGACAATAACCTAGTATCTAGTGTCTACGAACGTCCGTATAATTAATAAAACATTGGCCATGATAAAAAGTAGCTGTGTCCTATTCTATTGAAAATAGTATGTATATAAAATGTTAGGTAATTTTATTATGATTGTATTGTATGTGATTGTGTATAGATTATTAGTCCACACTACTAAAAAGTTACTGAAGTTACATATGTTACAACTAGCTTTTGCTCGCGGCTTCGCTTGCGTAGTAGTAAGTATTATTATTAATTAGGTGTAGTTTTTGTGGCTTTACTTTTGTTTAGCGTGTGTAAAAAGTTAGGGCCTACAAAATTTAAGATTTATACAAACTGTCATCCCCTATTTTATCCCCTTAGGGGTAGAATTTATCAAAATCCTTTCTTAGCGGATGCCTATGTCATAACATCTACCTGCATACCAAATTTCAGCCCGATCCGTCCAGTGGTTTGGGCTGTGCGTCGATAGATCACAATGTCAGTCACCTTTGAGTTATATATGTATATTTAGATGTAAGTATATGACTATTTGCGATCACATTTTAGATTTTTAAATATAATTACATAGCTATTTGCGATCACAAACAGAGGCTAGAGAATAAAAGTGTTGAGTGACTCGTACAAGTAGTGTACACTTACAAATACACCACAGCAAGTCATTTCGACTTGCAAGTGAAAATACTAATAAAATCAGTAATGTCCAGTCACCTCTGAGTTATATATATGTTACAATGTAACATATTATGGGGAACCCTAATATGTTACTTTTTATTTGTATAAATCAAAATGAAATTTCTAATCGTAACAAGAATGTATAAAAATAAACGTTTCACCTTTGGACAAAATAACAAAGTCACTGTGCTCTGTTATTGGCACCGTTTACTGATTGGAAAACTTTGTTTTTCTTTGTTACATACGAATATACCTGTTAAACGACTGTCAAACCAGTCTGCCTATATTCGTTGTATTGTAATCAACCCAACTTTTTCTTGTTACGTCACGTGAATAAAGAAATTGAGTGAATATTTAACTAACTTAACTATAATGGTATGTTCTCAACCAACTTAGAAAGAGCTCGAATTAATGTGTTTTTCTATATATTTGCAAATTGTAGACAGATTATGATGGTTCTTATTTTAATGATTACAGCTGTTTCTTGTACTAAATTGACTATGTTAATCTTGTTTTATGTGTAAGAAAAGTATTTGATCATGATTAATCTAAATATATATAACTCAAAAGTGACTGACTGACATAGTGATCTATCAACGCACAGCCCAAACCACTGGACTGATCAGGCTAAAATTTGGCATGCAGATAGATGTTATGACATAGGCATCCGCTAAGAAAGTATTTTGATTAATTCTACCCCCAAGGGGATAAAATAGGGTATGAAATTTTTTATGAAACTTTGTGAAATTAAATCGATGAGGCTGAGACTTTGCATGTATAAAGCTACTATGACGTAGGCATTTCCTAAGAAAGGATTTTGATAAAATTCACCCCTAAGGGGATAAATTAACGCGAGCGAAGCCGCGAGCAAAAGCTAGTAATACATAAAATTGTAGGTTAGTCCTGTTTTAATATATATATTTTAGCAATTATTAATATTTCATATCTTTGTATATTTTTTCCTAAATAAGCATATTGGGAAGCTGTCAATAAATAATTAAATAAACATGGTCCATTTACGATTAGTAAATTAGAATCATTTGTATTCACTACAAAAAATTTCATACACTCTCGTATGAAAATTAAGGTCCTGAAAGGTCTGTTCAGTGTGTACTTGAATTTAAATTACTTTAGCAACTTCTATATCCGCCATTTACACACAAAATGTAACTTTTAATGACGTCCATTTGCGTGTTCTAATTAGGTACGTTATCCTTACTAATGGGCACCAGTGGAAGATGATGTGATGATGATGGAATTTATTAGGATGGTTTCCAGGGAAAACTGCGTCAACGTCCTGTCTTGGTACATTCCTAGCATTTAAGGTACCAAACAAACAAAACAACAATACTAAATTCAGTAAGACCTACTAGTCGGTATGATTTTTGTTTTTGAAAAAGGTTACAATAATAATAATAATCTCAGGATAATTCACACAGCGCCATCTAGACCCAAGTTAAGCTAGCTAAAGCTTGTGTTATGAGTACTAGATAACTGATACAAATACATAGATATTTTTTTTCGTAAATACATACATATTATACATAGAAAACACCCAGACTGATACAAACAATCATACTCATGAATACAAATGTTTGTGTCGTGCGAGGAATCGAACCCGCGACCATCGGTCGTAAAACGGTGTGCATTCAAGACATTTTTTTTTAATAGGCTAATAGCGTTAGAGTAGTCCGAAAAAAACCTCTAGTAAAGCTGTAAAACCCAGCTGCGGCCAACAGCATTAGAGTAATCCGAAAAAAAACATGTAGTGGAGCTGTAAAGGCCAGCTGCGGCCAACAGCATTAGAGTAATCCGAAAAATAACTGTAATCAAGCTGTAAAGGCCAGCTGCGGCCAACAGCATTAGAGTAATCCGAAAAAAACCTGTAGTAAAGCTGTAAAGGCCAGCTGCGGCCAACAGCATTAGAGTTAGTCTGAAAAAAACCTGTAGTAAAGCTGTAAAGGCCAGCTGCGGCCAACAGCATTAGAGTAATCCGAAAAATAACTGTAATCAAGCTGTAAAGGCCAGCTGCGGCCAACAGCATTAGAGTAATCCGAAAAATAACTGTAATCAAGCTGTAAAGGCCAGCTGCGGCCAACAGCATTAGAGTAATCCGAAAAAAAAACATGTAGTGGAGCTGTAAAGGCCAGCTGCGGCCAACAGCATTAGAGTTAGTCTGAAAAAAAATCTGTACTTTACAGAGTTACTGAACGAGTAAAATCATCGTCAAAGAACAATTAACGCAGAAGTTTAACCGAAAGATTAACCAACTCCGACGGCATACATTAACCGCGAGGGACCCAAACTTTTAAGTAGAATTTAATTAACGAAATTTAACTTCGTGCCTTTCAGTAATGAGATGCCTCGAAAGTTAACGAGCCTATTATGTTGTATCGGTTTATTATAGTATAATATTTACTTGTTTGTTTTGTTCATGTAGAAAATAATAATAACCCAGAAAAAACACACCGCGCCATCTAGTTCAAAGTTGAGCAGAGTTTGTGTTATGGATACTAGACAACTGATATAAAACCGTACGAGGAATCGAACCCGCGATCATCGAATAGTAAAGCGATATGCTAAGCCACTAGACCATCGAGGCTGTCGATGATGTTTGATTGAGTGAGAAATCAAACTTGCGATCATTGGAAGTTACATATGAACGACGTTTGACACTTATCATAAGGTTAACCACGATTTATTTGCAGTTCCAATTACTTAAAAAAATATTATTATGTATGTTTCATTGAACGAGAAATCGAACCCGCGACCATCGGAAGTTAGTTACATATGAGCGACCATTGCCACTTACCATAAGGTGAAACACCGTTTGTTTGCAGTTCAAATTACTTAAAAAAACGTCAAAGTTAAAAAAAAATCAAAATTCAGGTCTATTATAGACTCTTATGATATGTCAAATCTACCGTCAGTTCGGAATGATTTCGAGATGAGAAGAACTGACAAGAAACTCAGCTCGTATTTCTTTTTTTTAAGTGTTGTACACATTTACAACAATACAATATCATTTAAACTCAAATTTGGGAGAATAGAGTGACCATCAGCATATGCTATTGAAAAAAAAAATCTAATCAGTGAATTAAAATTTTAAAAACGTATTAACATGTTCTTAGATAGATAGATATAAAGATATTATATATATACATAGATAGTATATAAATTCTTTATTCAACATTTACTTAAAAAAACTTATACTATTCCTTGTAAAATAATATTCTCCATTTCTACCACAAGTGGTATGGTATACCTAAGTAACAACTTACGGGAGAAATGCTCACCTATCGGTAACTACTTAACCGTTTTACATTAGTACTTATAGAGCGAGTTAAGTTAGAGATAAGTTCACTAGTTTTACGATTACTTTGCATATAAACTTCGTATTTAATGACGTAATTGTGACCTGT